GGAGTGCAAGAAGTTGTGCTTCGACAGGTGCAAGCAGAAACCAAACAGCTGGGCGGCGAGACCCGAAAACCCAAAAACCCAAAACGCTTTCTCAACACGACAACTTAATTCTCAAAACGACCACTTGATTCTCAAGGATTCAGACAGCGAAAGCCATTTGCACAGGGTCATGTCAAAACAATAAGAATCTAATAAGAACATGCTTTGCAGAGAGGGTCGACAGACCCCCCCAGTTGGACCGAAAGACGAGCAGGTGACCACCACTGAGACACACGTTCCACAGGGTCCGGGGTTGCACGTCGCGGGGGCCCGCACGTGGGGGCAATGAGGCTGCGCGAGGAAGGCCGCGAAGTTTGGGGCTTGAGGCGCCCACGTTCGCAGACCTTGGGCCCCTCGGTCTCGGTTCGGCGGCGGCGAAGGCGAAGGAGGGGGCAGGCAAATGACGAGCTTGTATCCTCGAAGCGAGTGTAGAAGTGAGGGCAACTGTTTCTTTTTTCATAATAGGGGCTCGGATTTGTGGACCATCCAAGACCGCAAGGCATTTCAGTACAGGAATGCTCTTTTGATGGAATCCTGACCCTGACAGACTCCCAGTCCGGACAAAAAGCCAGAGTTCTTTGCACAGAGTGGGATTGCAAAGCTGGCTTGGAAGATTTAGGGAGAGATTTAGGAGATGTTTGGTGCTTTAGGAGATGTTCAGGGCATTTTGATACGGAACTTGCTCTGAACCACACGGCAGAAGAAGCTGTTGCTCCCGAAATGACTGAGGCTTCCACTGAGCGGCGGGTCAGGTGGCTTCGCACCGGATGCATCCAAACAGCAGGGAACGTGTGACAAATCCCAAGATCTTCCTGTCAAAAGATGTCTGAAGCTGATGGATGCTATTGATCGCCGAAGGGGCCGCAGGGCTGCTGACGGCTCCAAACACGCTGCCACGTCGTTTTTTTGGAAGACTCGTTGCATTGATGACGACATCGACATGGAGCGCATGGGCCGTTAAAAAGGAGCCAAAGCAATGCACCGGTTGGTTTTGGAACTGAAGGAGTTGGCTCATGATGCCAAACAAGCGGTGCTTCGTTGTTGTTTGATGATTCAAGCAAGCCACAGGCCTGCGGTTCGGGATGCCGGCTGGCCCCTCAGATGGCTGTCCAGCACTTGTGCCGTCTCGTCTTGGACGTTGGGGACCTGTCCAGCGCGGTCTTGTCCATTGCCTGAGACAAGGAGACAAGGACTCCCACGCAGAGGCTGGAAGTGAATGGATGGATTTTGTCACACCATTTCTATTCCGTTTCTCTAGACTGCTTGCATCTTCAGAGATTCCAGGGATTCTCCTGTTTTTTTTGAGCGACTCACAGTAGCGAGACAAGGAATTTGCTGATGGTACCAGGCGAAGAAAAAACGTAAGAAGAAAGGGGCCAGCGGGCACAGTCACGGTGCCGCTCGTGCCCCAGCCAACTCTCACAGCCAACCCAGACGTCAACTTTGATCAGCCGAAGTTCAGAAGCTGGCCGGCTTTTGGCTCTCAAGGAGAGGCCTCTAGGGGATTGGCCCCGCAGGCCTCCAATTGTCTAGTTTACATAAAGATGTTTAAAGAAAGATACGAAAGGACATGGACTCAAACTCATGGTTTGTAGAGATCCAGCCTGTTACAGAAATAGCTGTGTTTCTCCCATCGGAAGTGAAAGGCTCTCACAGACTGATCCTTCTTGGGCGCCCGATTTTTGTGAATCCTACTCCGCGGGCCCCCACAGTGCCAAGGCCAAGGGCAAAGAGGAAGAAGCCAAGACCGGCCCGCCGAGGCCTTTGCTGCTGGTGCTGTGTGCACTTTGAAGCAATTACTTCGTATTGTGCATGATGGGCGAGGTCACAGAATGAACCTCCCAACAAGGATGAGGTACAGCAAGCACGAGCCTTAGAAGGATGTGAATTCAACTCGAATGCAGTAAGGAAAGCACATCAGTGCATACAAACCAGTGAGTCAGTCCCACAGTCCTCTCTCCCCCTCCCCAACCTTGCAAGGGTCGGTTGCAAGCGGTGCAACGGTCACACGAGTCTCTTGAATCCAACCCTTTCAGGTCCGCTCTTAGCTATTCCCTTGCAGCGAGGGTTCAGCGAGGGCCTGTGAATGTTTGAACCAATGAAGCAGGCAACCTGTTTGGGTCGATTCTTTCCATGAAGCTGACTGGGCTTCTTGAACTTCTTGATCCAAGGCTTTTGTCGATCAACCAAGCCTTGGATCACTGGTTTTGGTTGACGGAAGGAGGGATGGAACACTGGGGCAATAGCATACTGGAGTTTGAATCACATCCGGGTTCGGCTTTAGACAACATCAGCTCCTTTGTTTCGGATCACTTATCCAATTTAGGGCAATTGCTTTCCAACCTTTTCTCCCACGAACCTGGGCCCGTACAGGTGAACAGACTTTACGGCATTTCCACCAAGGCTGGCCTCGAGGAACGTCAGAAGTCTTCAGAGGCGACTTGCACATGGTCCGACGGACTTGTGGACACGGCGGTTTTTGGGTGAGAAGTGGAAGATGACTTGCAAGAAATGCAGCCTGCAAAGAGTTCTGTCGGTGCTTCAAAAACACTATATATATATAACTACATATATATATATATAATATAGTTCGCTTTTTCATGGTCTTCGGCGCCTTCGGTGTCTTCATTGCCATCACATTGCCGTCTGCCCATCAAATGGAAAGGCAGAGGGCCTAGAGGACGCCATGGCCTTGGTCTGGGGCAAGGAAGAACTGCGATCACCATCTTGACTTTTACCATGAGAGATGGTATATATATATATATCAATATATGCACTGACATTTCTTTTCTTCAAGACCGAAGAAGCTGAGGCTGATGCGCAGCTGCGTGCCGAGCGCTGGGCTCAGAGATGGACCCCAAAATTTGCGAGCGATGCGTGCACCGTGCGCCCACCCTGCGCGCACCGGCGAACCGAAGGCGGTCGAACTTGCCAATCTTGCCCAGAGGTTTCAAGAAGCCTTTGAAAGCACGCCGAGCGGGTCAAAGTCGAAGAAGCAAGAAGCAAGGTCGGTGGCGAACGAAAAAAAAGCGGTACAGGGCCCGTGGGTGTCATTCATGGCACTCTTTTGCACATGACTGCAAAGGCGATGACAAAAAATCCAATTTCGTTGCAGAGTCGAGGGTTTGAGTTTGTGATTTGGTGGTGGAAGTTGTGGTTGGTTGGACTTTGTGTTGGTTAGTACTTGTAGATTGGCGGAAGCTTCTACTGGCTCGTTGAGAAGAAACCACTGATTCTTTAAATAAACGTTAACCGCTCAACTGTTTCGCATACGAAACAGGCAAGAGAAAGTTCTTGCTGGCACAGACTTGCTACAGGAGAGATTTGTTTTTGTTTCTTTTTCCCAAGCCAGCCAAGCCAACTGGACATTACATCAAAGCTGCTTTAATTTTGGTTGCGTTTCCAACATGTGCCATGTTTGGTCATGAGTCACGAGCATGCACGTGACTTGATTTCTTGATCATGTTTGCCACCCTCTCCTTCTTGGTCGCTCCCAGTTGTTGAAGATAGTGACTGGTTCCGCGAACATGAACAACTGTCCAAAGTTCAAAGTTCTTTTGGATTGCCTCCAGCAAACACGAAACACCACTGCATACCTTCGAGTCTTTGGGAATTCTTGACTGCCTTCGGCATGCCGCGCGGCACGCCGCCTTCTTTGCCGCGGCAGGAGCTTGAATCCCTGAGGTCCGGCACAGAGGCACCGGGCACGAGCGATGGCGCAAGCGAAGGACGTGGAGGGAAGACAGAAGGGCGTGTCAAGCAGGTCAGATCAGGTCAGACCCACAGATCCACCAAGAGGCGCAGAAAAGGCTTTCAGGGTCAGAAGGGAGCAAGGATCGAAATCAGTCTTTTTTGCGTTTGCCGGTCCACATGAGTTGACTAGCCATCGGTTTGCATGATCATTCTTGACCCTCCTGGTGTGGACATGCTCTTGATTCATAAGACCTCACGGCTCCATTCACAACGCTCATCACCGGGTGTGTTGCCGATGTTCACCTTCCCCACACTTTTCTGTGAGAAACCCGCACTGCATCGTAGCATCTTCCCTCACCTTCCCCGAACCCCGAAAACGTGGCAGTTCCTGCGAAAACGTTTCGGCCAAAAGAGGCGCTGGAGGCCCGAATGGCAGAGCGTTTGCAGGTGCGGCGTCACAGAGCCTTCCTCTTTTGGCCCCCGAAGAACTGGATGTTTTTTTGAATGTAGTGCAACCTCTTGGTAAAAACAATGGTAGTTCGGTAAACGCTACTATAACAATGGTGGTTCGACTTCTAGGTTTTGTTGTCTATTTTTCCTCGTTGCGGTTGGAGAAAGGCGCGGGTCGAACGTGCAGATGGAGATGACCCGGATGCCGTGGGGTAGCTGAGTTGGTTTTTTGACCTTGGGATGGACTGGTGTGTGTCCAGTCCAAAGGGAGAGTCCAAAATTGGTGCAGGAAAAGTGCTCCGCAACTTTTTTCTGATCCCAAATGTCTACCTGTTTTGAGACATTTTGAGACACACCAAGTGCTTTGACACTCGAAGAGTCATGTGTGTACTGGATGTTTGCCCACGGTAACTCCCGCATGAATCGCTTCAGGCCAAGCCCAATCCGGCGCGGAGGAGGAAGAAGATGTTTGTGTAGAGGCCGGAACCGCCCAAACCCTGCGGCCATCGGAAGCCGGGAGTTCCGGCCCGAGCGGGGTGCATCGATGGCCGTGGGGTCCTGTCTCGGTTCGACCGGTCGGACCGTCCTGTCTGCGGGCGGACCGGACCGTGACCCGGTGGACTCTGAAATGGGTTGCGGGTGTTTAGCTCGGCTTGGTAGCGGCATCGGTGTTTAGAGAGGCCAAAGTTGCCTTTCTGGACCAAGGGCTCTGGAATGTATCGCATATCTTGAAGATCTTGAAGATCAGCAGGAAGGACATTTTGGGGACAGCACTGGTGTGTTCAACTTCCGAATGAAGGGTGCTTAGACTGCTTCCTAGCTTTTTGGCCCTTCGAATGAGCAGTGCTCACACAGACACAGGAGACTCTAGTTTCAAAGGAGCTCGCACTTCGCAGCGGGATAGAAAGAGTTGCAAAGAGGAAAACTACAGAACTAAATACTAGAATATATATATATATAATACACAATTACCATGTATGAATGTGTGTATATATATATATAGATATGAATGCGACAGAGGCATTGCATACAGTGTTTGTTTTCTTTCAATGTCAAGCCTGTTGGCTCAGAAGCACGAGCTGATTGGTGGACTGTCCACGCAGCCTTTGACTCAAGGGCACGAAGCAATCCTGGAAGCGCCTGCAAGGGCACGACTGCAGCAACCATGTGCTCCTGGCCAGTTGAAGAGTCGAACGTCACCAAGTTTAGACTGTGATGGCACATCATGACACTATTGATGAGGTTTTGACAGAACTGAAAGTTTGGCTAGTTTAGTTGAAGAGTGCAAAGTGATCGAGTTTGGATTCGCATGATGATCCATGATGTGATTTTGACGTGCCGCTTGTTGATTGTTTCATGTTCCTTGGCCATGTCATTTCTTGCTTCACTGCTTGCCTGAAGTTGTGTAGGTCCCTGCGGCGTGCAGTCACTCGCACGTCGGAGCTTCTCTCCCTGCGAAAGACCAGCCAGCGGGACCTCTGGGCATGGAACCAGATCATGACACACACACACAATATGTGGCAGTCGATTGATTCAATGGTAAGGTTTTTGATGAGCTGAGCAATTTGTGTGCTGCAGGACCAACTTCGCCTCGGAAGCTATCCAGTTCCTCCTGAGGCGACCAGTTTGCATCACGTGCACGGGTCTTGCTTGGTCTGATTGTGAGCATTTAGCAGCTCAGGCCTATATTTGGTGGTGCAATCGATCTCAGGTTCCTTGGAAAAGACGATAGACTTGTTGGCGTAGCACACTTGATTGGCTTGACGGTTCCTGAGGTTCCTGGCGGCGAGATCAAGCAGACCTTCTCGCACTTTCAGCAAAAGATCATGTGGCAATGGTCTTCTCCTGTGCATGCGAGTCATTTCAGCATCTCTTGGACACCTGTGATTGTTTTCAGCAGCAGTCGCACATGTAGGCAGTGTCCGGCAAAGTTTGTCTCAGGTTCTGGAATGCCCCAACACGTTGGTACTGGCGCCTGTCCTCTTGGGTAGACTTCTGAGAAGTGCTTGCAGTTTTGTCTTCCCATTTGGAACTCAACTTTGCGAAGAAAAGCAAACTGTAGGCTTGGCCAGTCGGTGTTCCAGCCCTTCTCATGTGTGGAGCTTTGCTGCTGCTATTGGTTTGCAAGGTTGTGCTTGGTTTTTGATGCTTTGAGGTATATCTTCGTCTACAAGTCTTGTGAGTGTGACGTAGAAGCAACGCTCAAGGCAAAGTCTTGGTGGTAAAGAGCTACTCGATTTCCTGTGTGCATTTGAAGAAGCGAAAAAGGACGGGCAAGAGTGGTACCCACACGCGACAACTTGCGCAAGGTGACTTCTTGTGCTAATCACTTTCTTTGCCTCATTCCGATGGGAACCATGTGCATAGAAGCTGGATTTGGATTGGATCGTCTGCGCAGCCTTTGACTCAAGGGCTTTCTAAACCTGTCAGCTGGAGTTTGA